TTCTTAGTGTGAAACTTTGTCAATATTACTTATTGTTTCTCGCAGTAAACAATTTTGAATGTTTTCAGTGAACATTATCCAAAGTATAGATTAAACGACGGGTAGTTTTTAAAATTGCTTTATAGCGTTAAAATTAAAATAACATGCTTTAAAGACTCACCAATGCTTGCAGCTTTAGGGCTGTTGCAATTGAATATATTGTATGTTCAGGTTTCCTTTCAGTTGGCAAAGGTATTTGGGAAGTTATGTTTGACGCAGTTTGTTCAGGCATTTGCGGTAAAGGAATTTCATCAACAGAAACTTGTTGTGCTGACTTCACAGATTCATAAAACGCAACAAGTTGGATTCTTTTATGTTCATAGTCGTTTTGTTTCTTCTTTAAGTCTGCCCACTTGTCTGGGTCATCGCGATACTTTGCAAAATTCAAAAAACAATTTTAATAATGCACTCACATGACCGGTAATATTAAATACTTACATACATATTTAATACCCTTTCTAATGTGTCGCGCAGTTTTTTTCGTTTATCTTTTAACACTTTCTCATTTAACGGTGATGGCTGATACACATTAAATTCTGAAATAAAAAGGCTACAATAAATACTTTTCTTGTCCTAACTATATATTAATAAAGATAGCTTAAATATAATTTTTATGTGATAAATACCCATCTGGTCAATTTTTTCCATTTCTTCTAATATTTGATCCCTAATAGATAACGGCTATTATACTGATGTAATTAGCACAGATTTGGTTCTTAAATAAATGGCAACAATAACAGTATAAAAATTTAACCATTTATTATTTTGTTAAGACACCATAACATGAAAAACCACGTCTTTTGTATTGTTCTTGATATACATAAAAACATTTGATCAAAACAAAACCGGCTAATTAAACAATTTAAGTACCGGCATAATATAAACAAAAGTTAAATTGTTGTATATAACTCGCAGGCGCATTCAACATTTTCAATAAATTAAAATGATTTATAAGTTTATTGTTACTTTAAATCAAAATTTGACTATTGAAAATATGTGAATTTTTCAAAAATTATTGCATCGTAAGTTAGGCAACCAACAACCCTGATCTGTCAGAATGGGAACCAACCATTTCTTTATAAAAGTAATCGCTTTGTATATTAATTTTTGAATGTTTGATACGGCAGAGATAATTTAAATGATTTATTACGATTTTAATACAAATAAGGGAACGATGTGGTTATAATACAGTCATTTATTAAGACACCATTAATTATATGCATGCAATTTTGATCAAAAGCAATTAAAACTAAACGTAATGTTTAAGGTGCGGTCGGTTTTTGGTGCTTTAACAACCCCTACAGACGGAGTAATTATCCATGGATTATATTTGGACGCTGGAAGATGGGACAACCGAAACGGGATCTTAGTGGACGCTGAACCAGGTCAGCAAGCAGTTACATAAAAATANATTAAGACACCATTAATTATATGCATGCAATTTTGATCAAAAGCAATTAAAACTAAACGTAATGTTTAAGGTGCGGTCGGTTTTTGGTGCTTTAACAACCCCTACAGACGGAGTAATTATCCATGGATTATATTTGGACGCTGGAAGATGGGACAACCGAAACGGGATCTTAGTGGACGCTGAACCAGGTCAGCAAGCAGTTACATAAAAATAACTTTTTACTTTACTTCCTTTTATTTATTCATTATTTGATACATTCTAATAGGTAATAAACAGTTGATAAAAGTTTGTTACTTTATTTACAGGTGAAATAAATCCTCCATTGCCTTCAGTTCACTTCATGCCAGTCGTAAAACTACCGGCCAAAGACACCCGTTACGTATGTCCTTTGTACAAAACCTCAGTGAGGGCTGGCACTTTATCAACCACCGGACACAGCACCAACTTTGTCCTTGCAGTTTTCCTGCCAACAACTGAACTTCAAAGTTACTGGATATTGAAAGGCACCGCTTTACTTACTCAACTCACAGATTAATTACTGTTCCTCCTGCGTTTTAGTTAATTTAATTGTTAGTTAACATATTCACTTACTATGATATCGACCCTCATTCAACCTTAAATAAAAACTCGTTTTTTCTTTTTTTTTTTTTAGATAGCTGTATTTTTCTATTCAACACAAACTTCTAATCCGTCTAGTATTAATCTATATAAGTCCCTGCATCTCCTTCATAAACTGCATATATGCGTCATCTTTTGTTGGCTGCTGTTGTAAATGTTGTCCTGACATAATTACGTGTTGTGCAGACATTTCCTTCTGTTTCAATTCGTGCACCAACGCCCTAGTCGCTGCCGGCTTTTGTTTTTTACTGTCCTCCCGTTTCACCCGTAACGTAGACGGCACAAAACGCGTCACATCCGCACTCAGATTTCGTATTTGCGGCTTGGCCGAGATCGTGGCCCCCCGCTGTTTACCTGTGCTACTTAACGAGACCGTTTCTTGTCGATTGATTAATTGAGGCGCGGCGGATAGAACATTCGGTGTGCCCGCTAAAGGTAAACCGGGCGTTGGACCGGTTGCAAGGGTGGGCGGAGGTGGTCCTGGTAATCGTATGAGTCTAGGAGGCGCAGGAGGCAATCTTAAAGGTAAACGAGGAGGAGGAAGTCCAGGTGGAGGTCCTGGCGGCAACAAAGGTCGGCCAGGAGGTGGTGCGGGAGGCAATCGAACTGAACCTGAGAAAACAAGAGGTCCTGATTGTTGAGGAGACGGGCCTAGGATAGAATCGGTTCCGGGAGGAGCGGGAGTATCGATTTCCGATCCCTTATTCGTACTACTATCATCTTTTTCTTCTAACAGACTATCGTTACCGTCTTTCTTTTTCTGAACGGATTCCATCTCTTTCATAAAATCGCTTATACTCTGGCCGGAAATAGCAACCATTTTCTGCTGAACGGAAGTCGGTTTCGAAGACAGATTATTGCCGCCAATACTTTCACCATCCTCATCCAACGTTATCCCATTTTCGTGATCCGCAGTTTTAGATTGCTCTTTGGCATATTCAACCTCCTCTCCGTCGCTATTGATATCTGGAGGTGGACCAGGAGGACACCCCGGCGGTTCTCGAATTGGTTGACCCTAAAACATCACTTTTGACACAACAACATTTTCTTTTATTTTGCCCTTTCAATCACTATTGCACTCTATTCATGTGGGAGAAAAATTACTCAAACTCACTTCTTTCATTAAACAAGTTCAAATGAGCAACATAAAAAACGCGCATTATTTCTATTGCTATTTCCAAAATAAAATGATTATCATAAACATTATAGGTAGTGAATGTACAATTGTTGCAACAATCCATTCGTTCTTCTTAGTGTGAAACTTTGTCAATATTACTTATTGTTTCTCGCAGTAAACAATTTTGAATGTTTTCAGTGAACATTATCCAAAGTATAGATTAAACGACGGGTAGTTTTTAAAATTGCTTTATAGCGTTAAAATTAAAATAACATGCTTTAAAGACTCACCAATGCTTGCAGCTTTAGGGCTGTTGCAATTGAATATATTGTATGTTCAGGTTTCCTTTCAGTTGGCAAAGGTATTTGGGAAGTTATGTTTGACGCAGTTTGTTCAGGCATTTGCGGTAAAGGAATTTCATCAACAGAAACTTGTTGTGCTGACTTCACAGATTCATAAAACGCAACAAGTTGGATTCTTTTATGTTCATAGTCGTTTTGTTTCTTCTTTAAGTCTGCCCACTTGTCTGGGTCATCGCGATACTTTGCAAAATTCAAAAAACAATTTTAATAATGCACTCACATGACCGGTAATATTAAATACTTACATACATATTTAATACCCTTTCTAATGTGTCGCGCAGTTTTTTTCGTTTATCTTTTAACACTTTCTCATTTAACGGTGATGGCTGATACACATTAAATTCTGAAATAAAAAGGCTACAATAAATACTTTTCTTGTCCTAACTATATATTAATAAAGATAGCTTAAATATAATTTTTATGTGATAAATACCCATCTGGTCAATTTTTTCCATTACTTCTAATATTTGATAGGGGTCCTTGCCTTTAAGAACTGCAGCCCTTACCATTTGCCGTTGTTTTTTATTCTTTTTTAATTCAAGCTTCCTAGCCTCTTTTCCTTTAATAAAGATAAAATTATATTGTTTAACAACCCATGTCTTTTGAAAACTTCCTTTCTAATTTTAATAAATAAGACAAATACTTACTGGCTTGGTCAGTTGGATTCATATACTTACCACTTTTAGTGGTATTAATNTCTCGGCATAATGCTCGAAATAAAAGGGATAAATATAAATGCCCGAGCCAAAGGGAGGGATATGACTGCGCTTCATCTTGCGGCCGAAGGGGGTTATGTGGAATGTATTGAAATGCTGTTGGGTAAAGGGGCCGATGCCAATTTGAGAAATCACAGGGGGCAAACGGCTCTTCATTTAGCCGCCAGGGCTCAATCGTTGGATGCTGTCGAATTACTTCTTCGCAAAGGTAATGCAAACCCTAACATCGCGGATTTCGACAAGAGAACTCCGCTTCATGCAGCAGTCGGAAAAAATGCCAAATCACATGACACCATCGAAGTCCTGGTTGCCTGGGGTGCAGACGTGAACGTTAAAGATCAATATGGTTACACCCCTCTACACGTAGCAGCTCTGAACGAACTGTCCCAATGCGTTGAGGTTTTGATATACCATTAGAATTTTTTTTTATGAATTACAAATTAATATATTAAATAATAAAAATTCGTATTGCGCGTCAGCGAAATTCTTACTCTTAAATTAGTACGTTAATTTATATAGGTCCTGCAACAAAAAAGGGGATCAATTAAAATTTGATACTTTTTTTAACATTTTTGAGGGTGTAAATGCCGATGAGCATCAGACGCTTTTTTAAATATTTCCTCTTGTCTTCAAGATCGGTTTGACGATGACGAAATCGTATAATTTCATTGTAACGCTTTTATTATTGTCTTAAAACTTAGGATGTTAAAATATTTGTTTAAGAATCGTCGCAGGCATTTACGTAATAAGATTAAGAAAAGATAGTTGTTAGCATAAAAGCTGTTCTACACACGACATTCTTATCACGTAAAATCATATAGGCACATATGTATACATATGTATACATTTTTTTTTTAATGAAAAATACAACATTCCAGTTAGAGAAAAAATTCAATTTATTTCTAATACACTCTCACAAAAGCATCTTACAAGGTAGGTATCTATCAGAGAGCATGTTGTCCCCTCTCCGTTGCAAAAAGTTCAAGACATCTCCACAAAGCAATTTAACAATTTACTTTATTCATAATAGAGATAAGCTATTAAATCCTTGTACACAGAATTAAGAATACTTCGATATTGTTTTATGACGACTGCGTCTAATTTAGTTATTAAAGCGCAAAATAATTTCGTGAATATGTTCGTCGATCAAAATTTTTCAAAATTCGAAATGGCGTTGAAACGTACATACTTTGACTTCAAATGATACGACATAGAATAATTTTATATCGTTAATTGTACGGTACAAGGACGTTGTGAACCGAGGCAATCTGTGAATAATTTAGAAAAAATAAGACACATCATCAAACTGGCACAAACCATCGTCAGCTTCTAGAGACTGATATGCTACTATAAAGGTGAGTCTCTTAAAGTATTTTCTTAATAATAAATTTACCATAATAAAATAAATATCGAGAACAAATTGATTGTGGATAATCAAATTTTACTCCCATATAAAATAACATTTCACCAATTAAAATATAAATCAAATTCATTAACCATTTTAAATTTAAAAAAGTACCTATCTACCAATCTAATTCAGTTAAGTCGTGCCTAATTGACTTGCCGTTAAGTGAGCTGGCGACGTTTGCGATTACATACAACAAGTAACTGTCTTGTCATGTACACGATTGTTTTTAATTTTCAGATAAAAAGCAAAGTTACGTGGAACCATTAGCCATCATGGAGAACATGGGTTTTCGTGGTACTTCAAATTCTAATTCTCAAAAGATCTTATCACGTTCTGTAAGTATGCACAATGCTGAGGAGGCGGAAAGTTTTCCGCTTTACAGAACGCCCATCTACACGGGACGGTCCCGTTGGAAACACGACCATCACAAAAACAACGTGGAAGATGTTCTGGAAGAAGAGTTTGCTTCCAATGACTTTGAATATATGGAATGTGGTCCATCGCCTCCTTCAGACCATGCCCCAAATTTGTACGAAAGTTTTGAAGAATTCGCCACGACCGAACTGACCGTCCAAATATGTTACGAAACCATTCGACTTAATCTTCTAGATCACTTAAAAACTTCGTCAGGACGAACCCATTATTTCGACGATATCGAAAATAAAAAAGTCATTCAAGAAAATTTGCCACAGTTCTTTCAAGGAGCCACCAAGTTCGAAATAAACATTTGCTTTCTTTGGAGCGCATTTTTGAAGCGATGGGACCTATTGGACGGCTTTTTGGCATTGGGGGCTCAACTGAACTACTTCGAACCAAGTCAAGGACTAGGACCCTTGCATTTGGCCTCCTTCAGTGGGTGTATAGCTAGCACCCAGTTCCTAATAACCAAAGGGGCAGATGTAAACGCTTGCTTTAAGTGTTACACGCCTTTGCATTGCGCTGCTTTCGGTGATAGTTCGGAAACTGCTATGATCCTTCTAAATAATGGCGCCAGACTTAGCGCCCTTACCGCCAATCCAAACATGAGTCACGAAAGTGTCTTGCATTGTGCCGTACGCGCGAATGCCATAGGGTGTGTACGACTTTTTACGGCCGAAGGTGCTGACGTGGGACAAGTGGAACATTCAGGGATGTCCCCCATTCATTTGGCAGCAGATTTGGGACATGCACAGTGTCTCGGCATAATGCTCGAAATAAAAGGGATAAATATAAATGCCCGAGCCAAAGGGAGGGATATGACTGCGCTTCATCTTGCGGCCGAAGGGGGTTATGTGGAATGTATTGAAATGCTGTTGGGTAAAGGGGCCGATGCCAATTTGAGAAATCACAGGGGGCAAACGGCTCTTCATTTAGCCGCCAGGGCTCAATCGTTGGATGCTGTCGAATTACTTCTTCGCAAAGGTAATGCAAACCCTAACATCGCGGATTTCGACAAGAGAACTCCGCTTCATGCAGCAGTCGGAAAAAATGCCAAATCACATGACACCATCGAAGTCCTGGTTGCCTGGGGTGCAGACGTGAACGTTAAAGATCAATATGGTTACACCCCTCTACACGTAGCAGCTCTGAACGAACTGTCCCAATGCGTTGAGGTTTTGATATACCACGGAGCCGACGTTACGATGAAATCCAAATTTGGCATGACCGCACTTGGTATTATGACCAGGAAAACACCCGCATCCTTGGCCATGATAAGTCAAAAGCTGGATTCCGCCATAACTTTACATCATCACGCCGAATCGCCCAACCGAGAGGTGGAGATGAGACTAGACTTCAGGTGCATCCTTCAGCACTGCTACCCGAGGGAAATCAGCTTCCTGAACACGTTCGTTGACGAAGGGCAAAAAGAAATACTTCTACATCCTCTGTGTTCCGCATTCTTATACTTGAAATGGGAAAAAATCCGCAAATATTACATTGCGAGGATGTTCTTTTGTTTTATTTTCGTCCTCGGACTGTCCTTGTACGTCCTAACCGCTTTGGCTCATAACTGTTACAACCATGGTAAAAATATGAACGACACCGATCCAGATCCTATCGAACTATGCGAGAAAAAATCGATGATGGGACACATGTTACGAAGCAATCCTTTCGTAATCGAAATGCAGTGGTTCGTTCTGGTAGGAATAACCGCGTGCGAAATATTAAGAAAAATGTACGGTTTGGCCGGCTATCCTAGTTTGAAGCAGTATTTATCGTATCCCGAAAACATAATCGAATGGTTCGTAATCGTTAGTGTTTTCGTAATTTCTTTCGTTTACACGGGACGCACATATATGTGGCAAAACCATATCGGTGCCTTCGCGGTACTCTTGGGCTGGACCAATTTAATGTTAATGATAGGTCAACTGCCAATTTTCGGTTCTTACATCGCCATGTATACCAGAGTTCTCGGTGAATTCGCTAAACTTCTTTTGGCCTATTCATGTCTACTTATAGGATTCGGGATAAGTTTTTGCGTAATTTTTCCGGATTCGTCCTTCTTCGCTAATCCATTCATAGGTCTCATCACGGTTTTAGTTATGATGACCGGAGAAATAGAACTGGGATTGTTGGTTGACGACGAAGATTCGCCGTTTCTATTAGAAATAAGCGCCCAAATAACATTCGTTTTATTTCTTCTCTTTGTTACGGTGATCTTAATGAATTTACTTGTAGGCATTGCTGTCCATGATATAAGAGGTTTACAAAAAACGGCAGGCCTATCCAAATTAGTCAGGCAAACGAAACTTATTTCATACATAGAACTGGCCTTGTTCAACGACTATTTACCGAAGTATTTGTTAAATTTGTTGCACTGGACAGCACTGGTCTCTCCGAAAGCTTACAGAGTCGTTCTGAACGTTAAACCTTTAAATCCAAGAGAAAAAAGATTACCCAACGATATACTGATGGCGGCTTACGAAATAGCCAAGAAAAGAAAACAACATGGTCATACCATATCCCCTGGAAACAACGCAACGTCGTTCGTTTCGAAAAAATGGATAAACAACAATTCGGACGAGAACAGCGACATTGTAGAACATTCCAATAATTGCAACAGTATGCAGAACATGCTGGATCGAAATGCGGACCAAATAGAAAATCTAAGCGCACAAGTGAACGAATTAAAACAAGCCGTTTCCAATACGCACAGAATGATGGAACAGTTACTTCTAGTTGTAAAGCAACAACACAAAACAAAAAGTTAAGAAATTTCATGTTTTATTCAATAAATCAATACCTATCTAACATGCACTTACATGATGTTTATTTGTTTTACATTGGTTAACTCTATGTTTATTACCATTTTTATTCATTTTTACCAATTCCGAATAACGTACCCCTATACCTATCATTAATTACATTCGAAATTCGATTTTCTTTTTTTTTTTCTTTTACGTATGTATAAGCAAAATGTTAGCTTTATAACACAATTGTAATTGTAGATTACGTAGATGTTATTTT